TAATATAATGTATACACACACGTATATAGGAGGCGAGAAATATAAAATAAAAAAAGTATTTCGTTAGTCTGACGTACGTATAATAAAAAATATAACGGTGTTAATAATATTTTAATGTCATTTATCTGTGTCAGCTTATACAATAATAACGAAATAAATAGTTTGTTGAATGTATGTTAAATCGATATTAAACGTTAGAAATATAAATTAATAATAGTAGTTTATATACAAGTCAGAAGAAAAAGAGAGAGAGAGAGAGAGAGGGGGAAGGGGGGGGGGGTAAAGAGAGAGATAATTATTCATTGTTGGAAGTATTGTATTTACATTAATCATATTTTAATGGGTAATCCTATATACGTCCACATTTTTACAATTGCAATAATAAGTATTCCATTGACGCCACTAATAATAAAATTGAAAACGCAGAAAGAGAATGTATTCCAATAAAAAAAAAAAGGTAGAAAGAGGAATAAAAAAAAGAAAAAGAAGAGAAAAATAACAGAACTAATAATACTCAAGTAGATCGATTAATAAAAAAATATCTAATAATAATATTAATATTAATAATATATAAGAACGAGGTAAGAGTCTGTTACCTTCGTAACATTCGAAAATTAAAGTGCTAAAACAGTAAAGAAATCAATCCTACTCAAATAATAATAATGATAATAACAGCTTTTACAATAAACAGATGCACACGAGAAACACGTATATATACTCATTTAAAAAGTGTTGGTTTATTAGAAATATATGAAACGTAAATCGAAGTTATTGATCTCTAACTATGATGTGACATAAAAGATATGTATTAAAACACGTGAAAAGAGTAAGATTATATATAAATAAGTAATGTTTTGATGATATATATACATACTATATATCTATAACATGTATGTGATAACAGTTAAGTGCTTGATATCGAAACTTAGAAATTCGCGTAACATAAGAGAGTGGCTTCTAAAATATTTGTTACAAGAAATATTTAGCAACAAATTTAATAAAATAAAATAAAATAAAAATAGCTGCCAAAAGAGAGAAAAAAAAAAATGACAAAACTATTCGTAGTAGTATACGGAGCCACGATCTTTTCGAATGTTTTCTTAGCAAAAAAATAATTTAAAAAGCGCATTACACAATTTGTATTCTCGTATAATGTAATTTATTATAAATTATAGTTTTCGTACTTAACAATAGGCAAATTAGCTGGAACCACTCTGATATATATATATACACACACACACACACATATATAAGGGAAGAAAAGAGATCGTAATAAATGTTTTTTATAAAAACCTTCTCAAATTCATATATTCCGATGTTATATGCAATTTTCAATATCGATCTAGTCGAATTTATTGTTTTAGCTGATAAAAAACGATAAACAAAATATATTAGTCGACGATTATATTTTAAAAAGAAATAAAATCAACTGTGTTTAATATGCACGAAAAAATGTATCGCGTATTATAATATCTGTAAGGTTTCTCGCTAAGAACTTTAAACGTTTCTCGTTTAATCGATCAAAATACTCGATGTCAATGTAATCGATAGCATGCGCTAATTGGCGATTCGGTTAATAGATTTGCGATATACATAGTTGAGAAAACGAATTAAAGATGCACGAAATACAGGGTCGGCCTGTACAAAGTTCTCTTGGGGTTGATTTGAAAAATTAATTACTGTAGTTCTTAGAAACTTTGTCAAAATAAGAAATTTTCTTTTATACTTAATTATAATTATTTTTTATATTAAAATTATTTTCATTTATATTCACACAATTAAAAATGTAATTTTTCATAAATTAACGATCAATCAAATAATTCACAATAGCAAAATTTGAAATATTTATCATAATATTTGTATTTTGAAAGGAGTAATTGATATTTTAAATAATCTCTAAACTACTTTCGGCCCACCTTGCATATCGCATAATAATTACAAAGTAATGTATAAGTGACAGAAAGAGGGGAAAAAAAGAAAAAAAGAAAAGAAGAAGAAGAAGAAGAAGAAGAAAAAAAATAATACTTAAATAAATAAGAATTGCCATTGCGCTTCTTTCAGATTGACGCTTTAATAATAATGTTACTATATATTAGCCAGCGCGCGATCAACAGTGCCGTATATTTATATACAAGGCGTCTTCCTAAACGAGATACAATACTTATGGTAGAAACGTATGAATATCTATGAAAAAAATTAAAATGATCGATTTGAAAATGGGTATTAGAAATGAAAACAAGTGGGTTAGGGATAGTAGAATAATATGATGTAGAATAAAGATATAAGAAAAGAAAGAAAAAAGGAAAAAAAAAAGAAAAAAAAAAAAAAGAAAAAAAAGCAAAAACCAACTATCTATCGTTTACCATTAAAACACAAATATGATTATAATATAACAATGTTGTGCCTTTTCGTTTATAATTTAAAGGCAATTAGTGTAACCCTTTTATGATTACTATCGATCCTCTCCGACATTTTTTTACCATTAAACGTATAATCTTCGTATAACAATTCAGCTAAACATTCACCACGTAATTTTTCGCCGATACGTATAGAATAATTGGAGGAATAAATAGCTATCGCTATATTTGGTATAGCATTCTCCAAAACAATTTCCCCGCCCATCGAAACTTTTTTAATCTCACCTTTTTGCAACATTTTTCCTAATGCGAAACTAGATTTCGTTAATCCAAGACCGATTCCACGTCTACGATATTTTTTATCGGTTGCGATGTAAAACATTTCCAATATTGCATCAGTGTCATATTTTTCGAATATATTCACCTTAGATTCGAACTAAATAAATGAAAATAGAGGAAAAAAGAAAAGTTACGAAATAATATTGAAATTTCAATGGAACGGTGATTTCATATATTATTACGTGTTATATTAGATATAATAAATTATATGGCTGTTATTTATTAGATCAGTATATTGTTTAAGTACTTACGTTATTAAGAAAACGAATAAGCTCGATACAAGAACGATGCTTTATATTCTTATTCACGTATCTCCCAAGTGCATCCTCATCTCCCTCTTTCAAAGGAATCTTCAAATAAAAGAAACGTATTATCTCATCAAGATTTCCTTTTTTATTTTTTTTTAACCTTATCAAATGGAAATAAGAAAACGTCTATCTTTTATATATAACGAAGTTAACTCGACTTCGCGTCGAGTTAACGTGATTGAAGATAATTAGACAATTGCCCTTTTTATCCCCCCACTCCTTCTTGAAGTTATTAAACCAGCATTTGTCAACATTTTCCAACACTTTCTCACGATATCATTTCTACATTATTATATAATATATGTATTCATAATTATAATATAATATTTGAGTTAATAAAAATATACTCGATTGGATATAATATCAGAATAGTTTTCGTTTCAAATAAAAAACTTAATAGACAACGTAAAAATCAATATAAAACATTAAAAAGTAAAAAAAAATATAAAAATGATTGTACTTGCATGCATCTTATTGAATACCACCCCAGCCATTTCTTTCGTGTCACTGTCTAAAGCGATTATTGAAATTCCATCTTTAACAACTTCCTTAAAAATCAATTGCATTTCCTCGGGTGCACCAGGTTCCTCGAACATTCCCAATCCTATAGCAATATTTTCATGGACCATAGTATTAGCTTGAATACGTAATGCATCTTCTAATCTATCTTTTGTAAGCAATACGTAATCTATTCCACCTTCGCGTAAAATTAATTGGCATTCCATTTTTCTAACAGTATAACCACAACTCGCGACAAAATCGTACTGAATTCATTTGATATAAAGAGTAATAATACTCCTTTACATGTGAGTACACGATAATGTATAAAATTTATATTTAATTTCGTGTTTTATCGCACGTCGTCGTTGTCAAGAAAAAATTCCCGTTACGAATATATATATATATATATATATATTACAGATAAGAGTATAAGAGTTATCACGATATCTTGCATTTGTAGAAGAAGACGAGCTTACGTGGACAATAGCTTTCAAACTACTGAACTTAATTCGATCTTACAATCAAGAAATATTATAGTTGTGAGCGTGTGCATAGATGCAACGCCTACGCTTCAATATTTGACTTTATAAATCTGGTCTTAATGTATTTGATTGATAACATACAGCAAACAATTTTCCATGATAATGCTTCTACGATTATTTATTATCGTTGATAAATAATCTAATATTTTCTATTATATAATTAATCAAATAAATAACTTTTCATGTGTATTTATTACGTATATGTGTATAAATGTACGAGAATATATATTTCATTGATAATAATATATACATATATTATAAATAAATACTTATATAATATAACATAATTTTATTTGAAACAAAACATAATTATGCTAATTAATAACGAGCTAGATAAAAATGATAATTAATTAAATATTAATACATGTTATATATAAATTTATATATGTGGATTATGTTGTAGCCTTTTAAACTGTCGTCAACGAAAACATTTCCATATTCATATCGACATTAAACAAATAATGTATCTCCCGGTACTATATATATATACTCGATGCTATTACGTAAAGACTCTAGTTATCAAGTGAATCGATAATTTTGTCATACGTTTTACTATATCGTTTCAATAAAACCATATCTTTCAAGGATTTTCTTTCATGTTATTTACTTTTGTGTGCGCCATTAAAAGAATAATATTTCTATTCTAAAATCTCGTAAATATTTGATATTTCTTTGCAATTATTGTGCATATAATTTCAATGTTGATAGAAATGTTTACAAAATTCTTTTAGCGTTCAAAGAGCAATCTTTATGCTCGTTATTAAGTATCTCACTATATTTCTTCCCATCAAATTCAAAATTATCAAAACTAATACTTAACAATATTTCAAAGCCCAATTTGACAAAGATTTTTGTCGAATAATTCGAGGTACCTATTGCTGAAGCTAATGTCGGTATTGCATCGTAATTGATTATAGAATTGTAATCTTTAACCAAAACAGGAATCTTGGTCTGTTCTCCCCGTTTCAATTCCCTAGCAATTTCTAAAGACGACGAGACCAAAAGTTCGCCTATTCTACGTTTAGAATATTCCGGTAATACCGCTAAAAACATTATTTCCAAAATGCATTTCGCGTTGTAGTGTTTGAAGAGATTGAAGCGCGAATCAATGTCGACCATGAAATCGACCAGTGCTTTCGACGATTTGTATTTACAAGATTCACTGAAACGTTCGAATGAAGTTTTTTCTGTTGGATTTCCAGCAACCTAAAAGAACAATATATTTTAACATTATATTTATAGATCGATTCGATTTCAAGCGTGCGCGCATAATTGAATTTGAATTTGAATTTGAATTACAAATGTGTCTAAAAAGTATCTTACAAATAAATAACAAAGTTTGATTTTTCTTTCGTAAGATAATTATTATTAAAATAAGCATAATAAAGATGAAACGTTTGAAATAATTACTTGAATTTTGTTGAAAAGTGCGCCAACTATCTCGCCGGTCTCGACCTCGATGGCAACGACGCTGACGCCATCTTTTGCTGCATCCAGACAAAGTTCGATCAGTTCATCGACTGCACCAGGTTCTGATACAACATTTACGACCTTGCTTACACTCTCTTGAGTACAGAAACTGGTTCTTATCACGTTGAGAGCACCTGATAATGTATCGTTTGTTAACGACTCAAATTCTATAGCTCCGTCCTCCGTTGAACCCCACAACCGATAAGATGACATTCTTTTTCGTGTTCTATCACATAAGAATGATCATTTACAAACAATAAACATTTATATTCATTACAATTCAGACAATGTTTATCGTATAAAAAAAGGAAAAAATACAAAATAACGAAAGAAAATTTGCGTTAAATTTCAATATCAATTTCAAATTTAATCGATTGTAATTGTAATTAAATATCGGCCTAAGTCTTATCAATTTTCAATACTTCTATAAATAATTTTGAAATATCTTATCTTGAAAAATTATCGCTCCTTAATAAATAACATACATTATTATTCATTATTATTCATTATTATTCATTAATAGATAAGTGCATCGAAAATATTTGTTTTATTAAATTCGAGATATTTTTCATTTCTCTCTCTCAGTATTTCACTCAGTATTCATTCCTGGAATTGTATATTTAATGATAAATATTAGAAAAGTTAATCAGTTAGGATAACAAATACGTTTGTCATAAAACGAGATAGATAACATTCATTATTTCCTCTTTATATGTTTTCATATTTGTATCTCTTTATGTAGTTATTTTTTTCAGTTTTTCCATGCTAGGAATTTTCAAAATTCTTTTTTTGAAATAATTGAGAAGCCAAAAAATGATAAAGTATCATTTTTGTGAATAATAAAAATACAATTAGGCGGTTTTTTTTGTTTGAAATGACCTATACAACAAAAATTTCGAGACATACCCCATTTTTGTAACGTAGATTATTCCTCCACAACAGTTCGAGAAATACTGATCATGTTTTACGTCAAATATATTTTCTTTCATGTTTAATGAGTTCTGTCGATAAGAGAGCGTTCTGTTTCGTAAGAATACAAGTTTACTCATAATATATATATATATATATATATATATATATATATATCATAGTTATATATATGCATCTACACTTCACTCATTTATTTCTTTTTTCTCACGTTAGAAGATAACACAATATTTCGACATCTATTGGACTATTTTTAAAATTAACGACACACAAAATATTGTGTTCATTTTGTCGTTGTTCATAGATAAAAATGAAAAATCATGAATTTTATTTCTTTATTTTACTTTGTGATTCACCGTCGTATTTGAGCGATTCAAAGTATTATTTTATATTTAATTTTGTTTCTATTTTCTCTCCTCTTAAACGATCTTTCTTTTTTATTACTTACCGTCGTTCCTATCGTTTTACATTCGCTTCGCAACGTGTTAATTTAATTTAATTACTCTCGTAGGACTTTATTTTCAAACGTTTTCGAATTAAATGAAATTCTCGAAAAGAATTTGTTGCTAAGTAGCGAAGAATCACAGACATTCCGTTTTTGCAAGGCCATTTCGTTCGTGAGATACAGCAAAGTGAAACTAAGATATATATAGATACATTGCACGTATCAGCTCGCATTTGCGCAAACCAAGAAATTGTCTTATAAATATATATTCAAACGTTAGCACTCTACATTTCTCTTCGAGTTGTTTAGTTTAAGTTATTATATTCATTTTTTCTTCATTTATTTCATAATTTCTTTCTCACAAACTGTTTTAATTATAAAATCGACAGAACTCTCTATAACTATAACGGGAACCATTTTAATTCCTGTTAGACGAATAATTATTAAAAATTACAAAAGTCATTCTTCTTCTTCATCATCATCTTTTTTTTTGTTCTTTTTTTCATTTATTTTGATTCTTCTAATTTAAATAATCTCAACGCGTGTTACAAATTTCTTTCCTCGAACTTATGTAATCGTAAAACAGAGTAGATAAATAAAAATTGTCATTTAAGAACATTCATTATAATACGATGATAACGTATAAATAAAAAATCTGTAACAATGAAATTTGTTATAGATATGAATAGAAATAAAATTAAGTAAATTAACAAACCAAAGATACTTCCTCCAAGTAAAGAAACAAAATTCAAACTTTACGTACGAGAAAAATACTTTTACGAGAGACACAAATAAATGCAAAAATACTGGACACGTATAAAAATTTAATAAACGCATTCGTTTCAGTACTAACAAAATTTGACAAGACTTTGCGTGAAAGCAAATGATCTAATCGATGTGTGTATATATATTATGTATATATATTATATATATATATATATATATTTACAGGATTCCCAAACTCATTAAAAGACACAGAAGAAAAATCCAATTTAAAATTGATCGATTTAAACTATCGATAGTGAATTTAGTTGTTTTATAGCAACTATATAGAAACGATCATTGGTTGATTCTTTAGCGTGTTAACGATTTGATTGGCTTTTTTAAGATCAAATGATAATGATTATCTTTTCTATTACGATAATATTTAGTAATTTGTAAGAAATGATTATTTTTATTATAAGCGAATGATAATACAATAAAGATAATAGGAATATGATTAAATTTAAATTGAAAAGCTTTTCATTAAAGCCTCGTTCTTATATATAGGAAATTGAACGTCTGAATAAAGCTTTTTGTTTTCGCGGGTAGAGTAGTTGAGTATGCGCATGCGCGTATCGCGCGCGACAACTAAATAAGATGGCCGTGCAGCGAAACAAATAGAGCGCCGTCGTAAATAACAAACCGTCCTATCACGCTTCTAAAAAAGATATTTGTGTACAACTCCTGGGTGTAGGATTAGCGGGTGTTTAATATCAAATAGTTTCTTGTTAGTTTAAAAAAACGATTAGTAGAAGGGTTTGATAAGTTTTTGAGAATAAATTAAAAGGCGCGTGGAGCGTTCGTAAGAATTCGGCCTCGTTATATGCGTCACGCGCGTGCACGAGGGTACGTACGTACGTCCGTGCGTACGTGCGTGCGTGCGTGCATATGTGCATCTTTAAATTAAAGGATTCTAAAAGTGGATACGATATTCGATAATCGTCATCGCCAGGATGCAACCGCATGGGGAGGCCAAGCGTCATTCCCGTCGCCGTCTACGGTTCGCCTAGCTCCTCATGCTAGTCTCCTCTTCCGAATTGCTTGTAGCACAGCATGAAGGAGATGCTTGGAGGGTGCTGTGTGTGTTCTGATGAGAGGGGTTGGACCGAGAATCCGTTGGTCTATTGCGATGGACAGGGATGTACTGTCGCTGTACATCAAGGTTTGCATTATTGCACTTATTCATACCGATAGATTTTCTATAATTAATATTTCTATATCGGTTAGAATAATATTATGTTTATATTTGCAGCGTGCTATGGTATTGTTACTGTACCAACAGGACCTTGGTATTGTAGAAAATGTGAATCACAAGAAAGAAGTGCACGCGTGGTAAGTTTATTCTATTGTTGACATCGCATAGAACTTATTTATAAGATATTGTTATAAATATATCTAAAGATGATGATGATGAATTGTTGTCTGAACTATATCCAAAATATAATATATGATTTTTTTAATACAAAATATTGGATCAGCGCTGTGAATTATGCCCGAGCAAAGATGGAGCACTCAAAAGGACGGATCAAGCTGGTTGGGCTCATGTTGTCTGCGCTCTTTATATTCCAGAAGTGCGCTTTGGCAATGTTACAACAATGGAACCCATTATATTACAGCTTATACCTTCTGAAAGATTTAGTAAAGTGGGTATTATTTCTAATTAAGTATTTGTAATATTATTCCGAGACAAGAATATACTTATATCAATTGTGATTATTATTTCAGTCTTGTTATATTTGCGAAGAACAAGGTAGAGGAAGTAGAGCAAATGTTGGAGCTTGTATGCAGTGTAATAAAACAGGCTGCAGGCAGCAATTTCACGTTACCTGTGCTCAAGCTCTTGGTTTACTTTGCGAAGAAGCTGGCAACTATCTTGACAATGTTAAATATTGTGGATATTGCCAGCACCATTATTCAAAATTGGTTAGCATTATTGCACTTTCATTATAGTGTTCTTTTCTTTTTCATTTATTTACATTAATGTTACAAATATATTTGATTTATAGAAAAAAGGTGGTAACGTTAAAACTATACCACCATACAAACCTATACCTGCTGACAATGGATCATCAGATTCATCTCCTGAAAAGGAAGCAGAGACTCCAATAAAATCATCATCAAGTAGTAAAAGGAAAGGATCCAGTTCAAAATCAACTACAAATTCTAAAAATAAGTCTAATACTAGTCCAAACGTAGAAATAAATGGTGTTGCTGATGACACCAAGAGTAGCAGTGGTCGTAATACTCCCAAAGATGGTTCTGCGAATACTGGAAAATTTACGACATCAAATTTTGTAGAAACTATTGTTACACAATCAGAAAGCGTATTTGGACACGATGGATCTACTTCAGTGACAGCAGCAACTGCTGTTACAACTGCTAATATAAAGACGAGTTCTAATTCGAATTTGATTCATAAAAATAGTAGTCAAACGAAATCTAATTCCTCACAATCCAATAAGGGTTCAAGTCATACAAGTAAACGAAGAAAGACTGGTGCACGTACACCAACTGTGATAGGAAATGAAAATTCAAATCAATCTGTTAGTTCCGAAGCTAGTGGATCTGTAGTAGTTGCTGTTAGTTCAGTAGTTCAGCAAACAGTTTCAAGTAATAATGTACAACCTACTATAACCGAAGCCACTAGTCTTAGTACAACAACTGAGCCTGAAAGAGTAAAAAAGGTATCTTAACTTTTATCAATGTGTAAGCTTCAACTTTCTGTCATGAAATCTAGTAAAATCAAATATTTAATATGTAGTTTAATATTTTATAAATTACAGTTAAAAATCGACAGTCCAGTACAATCCGCATCTAGTATTCCAGTTACTACAGAAGCAACAACTACACCTGTGATAATGTCAGTAACGCAATCTCAATCATCAACGTCTATCCAATCACCAACTACTACATCGAATAGTATAGTTGTTTCTGTTCCCTTAACTGCTGCATCTCTCTCTGGTACTGCCCAAAGTGTAGTAACAAGCGCTCCTACGTTGTATCAACAATTACAACAAAGTATTATTACTACTGCAGCTAACACCGAGCCAAGATCTAGTATCATGCCAAGTACAGAGAGATTTACATTAGAAGAAGCTCCTACTAAAAGATCTCGGTAAGTATTAAATATATCTATATTTGTAAATGATTGTATTTTATATTAAATTAGATTTTATTTTTGTGTTTCCGAAAAAAACTCAAAATGTCCACAAATTCAAATATATTGTTTCAATATATTCCCATAAATACAAATTTTAAAGCATAAGTGATAAAATAAGATTACGTGCATTATTCGATTTACCGCGCTAAAACGTGTTAACACTTTATAATTATCTTTAAATTATTTATATAGATCTTCTTGTGAATATTCCACACATGTATTAAGTGTTAAATAATAGATATTTTTCAATGATTTAACGAGATTGTAAAATATTGATAACTATTTTTAAAAAAATTAAATTTAAGAAAAATTTTTTAAGAATATATGCAACAATAGGAATTTTTCGAGTTCTCTAAGCGCGTTCAAAATGGCTGCCACGAGGAGTAAACAATCAGGTCATTCTAACCTTTTTACGCGTCCTAGTCTATTCCCTTTTTTATTTTCTGTCTGTTTCAGTGAAAAAGTGTTTTTTATTTATGTGGAATTTGTTAAAAAATAGTGTTTAATTGTAAACGACGCACGATTATACAACACAAAGTGCAAGGGAATAATTTGATAATCATTATATGTTTATCTAGTGATCTGATTCGTGTGTTCGAGCACAATGCTTCACTCGAGGTCATTTAGAAATTATCTATTTTATCATTTTATACGATATTAGAATTATTGAATTTTTTTGGAAATAGAAATAAGTGTTTTTAGATCAATGAAATTGTTCCATAACGTTTCTGAATAAGTTTATTTAGTGAAACGTTTATTGCGAGGTTATGTTTATTTTTCCCACTATAAGAAGCCTGATGGGCAACGAACGGAGGAAGGGTGTAACGTGAATTCAAAACGGTAATAACGTACAGTTGAACTTGAACATTCTATCTAGATACGTTAATTTAAGAAACGAAAAGCATTTAATAGAACATTTATTGAGTGAGAGTATTATTATATAGTATTATATTACTATATATAT